GAAAGGTAATAAGTATTCTTGAGTTTATGCTGTGTGAATAAGGTGAGGCTCTCAAGGTTAATGATTTACATTATGTAAATATCACAAGCAAAAATAAGATATGTATGGTTGCATTTAAAGAGTTTGCAGACTGTGGTCATGTTTATTTCCGTACAGAAAAATTAAAAGCTTGTTTTCTTATTTTGGCACATAGGAATCACAGTCAAACAGTGAACTCCCTACTTCAGTCTATAGCAAAGCCACCAACCAGTTAGTCACAATTTCCCAAAGCCTTAGCATGACAAGCAGTAGAGGCTAGGCCCTAACACTAAAACATTGTTGACATTCGAAATAGAAGCCCAAGTAAATGAGCACATGACAAAGGCAATTCTAGAATACCTAAAAAGTAATATATCTCTGGAACACTGAAGAGGGGCTGTGGATGTGATATAACTCTATCTCTTCTATCGGGAAATCAATAGACATTGTCTAGAATTGGTGAATCAAGAAACAGCTTCATATGCTCTCCGGCCACGAAGACTCGTTGCAGACTCAGCTGAGGGATGGTAGAATAGGGGGGGATGGGAAGATGACCACTGCTTTTAATTGCCGTGTATGGTAAGCTATTCTGTATTATTTTTTAGTTATCACATGTATATTTTAACTTGGTAAAAAAATTTTTTAAAAAGTACTTTAATGAAAAATAACTTAGCCTTATGAACAACAAAGGCTTCTTGTTCTAATGCACATGCTTTACACACCAATTTTGAATTTGAAAGTATTAAATTAATAAATCTGAAAGCCAGCCAGTCCTGTATATTTTGAATTTCTACACAATCACTATGAAGGAAAGCAAATAGATATGTGTTAACCTTATAAAAGAAACAAATAAACAAACACCTACAATATATTAATCTCTTCTTACTTTGTGACAGTAACAGCCACAGGGCCAAACACTTTAAATGAGTTATTTAATATAATTCTTCCAAAAACCTTACAAATTATATAATATTATCTCATGCTTAGATACACCAAATAAATAAATTGAACAAGGTTATATAGTTCACACAGGCTTTTTTCTTGTTTTAAAATCATTTTTAGAGTTAAATATATCTAATTCTAAAAACATGGAAAATGCTTTTTCTTTTATTAAACTAGAAATTAACAGTTGTGGTTATATTTTTAACATAAATGTATCTTAGATTTTTCTTTATAAAGATAAGGCATACATTGAATAACTTTTATTTGATTTCCATAATACCTTGGCATTATGGTTAAAAGTCAAGTAATATCCAATTTAATCGATGGTAAAATGTTTTCTTTCTCAAAAAATTTAAAAGTACTGAACTCCTGTGCTATCTTCAGGAAAGAGTGAATGTGTAGCCATATAATTACATTAGTAAATTAGATGTAATTAATATTAGAATGACAAAAATATACTAGTTCAACTTAAATATAACATATAATACATGTTTTCTATTGCTATGCTTCTTGTTGAAAATTTTACTAGGCCCTCTGTATGTGTTAATTAACTGAGTCTTCACAATATGGAAATAATACCATTATCTAGTTCCTGAAATTTAAAAATCAAGGTTCAGCTTGCCTCAGGCCATTAGTACAGTGAGAGGATTTGAACCCATGTCTATTCTGCCCTCCACATTGTCTGTAGATATTGCTATTCAATCAACATGGAATAAAATACTTAATTGGGCTATAATTGATCCCATAACGTATTTTTGGTTCAGAATAATTTATTTGTATATATTATGGCATTCTCCATGCTGAAATTTACATTGTTGTGACCTATCAATTTAAAAAAGAAACAGAAAAGAATAGGATTGCCCTGGCTGGTTTGGCTTAGTGGTTGGAGCGACAGCTTGAGGACCAAAGGGTCACCAGTTTGATTCCCAGTCTGGGGCAGGCACCTGGCTTGCAGGTTCCCCCACTGGGGCCAGGGTCATTCGGGAGGCAGCCAGTTGATGTCTCTTGCACATTGATGTGTCTCTCTCTCTCTTCCTCCCCGCCCCCTTTCCAGTCTATCTACAAAATTAATGGAAAAATATCCTCAGGCGAGGATTAACCAAAAAAAAAAAAAAGAAGAAGAAGAAGAAGAAGATTATTCATGCGTATTCTTAGTGAATACATGCTATACTCTGGAACTCTTTTCTCTCCTTCCTAGGTCAATGAAAGCCAACTATTTAATCAGTCTATCCCTGTGTTTAACACCTATCTCTTTTATCTATAATTTTCTGAATCCTTTGAGTTTTCTCCAACAGAATTTTTGGTTAGTTTTTTGTCTGGTTCCCTAAATTTTCCATGGTTTCTTAATGATTACTGAGAGTAAACTCTGAAGTGTGCTACAGTATGTTTTCCTGTCTATAAACAGATTCCCCTTAGTATAGCTCTGAATTCTAAGACAACATTATCACCTGTTTCCTTAAATGTTCCATTAACTTCCATGTCATATATCGATATTTTTGTCTTTGTAAGAATCAAATCCAAAGTAATTAATTCTTTTTTAATCCTTTCATCTTCTGATACATAAAGTCATTAATTCAAGAACTACCAGCTGTTTCAGTATTAACAGAATGACCATTTATTAGACCTCTACCTTATCTTTATTTCGTATAACAACATTTTGAAGTAAAGAATTTCAGTTTTTCCCACTTTTTTTTTTTTTTTAATCCTCAACCGAGGATATTTTTCCTTTTTTTTTTTTTAATTTTTTTTTTTCTTTATTGATTTTTTTTTTGTTGTTGTTGTTCAGGTAGAGTGGGAGGGAGAGAGAGGAACAGAGAGAGAGAGAAAAACATCGACGTGAAGGGACACATCAAGTGGCTGCCACCCGCACAACCGACCAGGGCCGGGGACAAACTGCAACCGAAGTACATGCCCTTAGCGGGAACCGAACCCGGGTCTCTCAGGACCGCAGGCCGACGCTCTAACCGCTGAACCAAACCGGCCAGGGCTATTTTTCCATTTTTTATTCAGATAGAGCAGGAGGGAGAGAGAGGGAGAGAGAGAGAGAGAAACATCGATGTGAAGGGACACATTGAGTGGCTGCCACCCGCACGACCAACCAGGGCCGGGGACAAACTGCAACCGAGGTACATGCCCTTAGCGGGAACCGAACCCGGGTCTCTCTGGACCACAGGCCGATGCTCCAACCGCTGAGCCAAACCAGCCAGGGCAGTTTTTCCCACTTTTGAGATAAGAAGTTAAATGACTTGTGTTTAAGTCAGAAATCACACACGTAATTATAATATATGAATATATTATACAACTAGGAAAAATTACCATGCGTATTAGACTCAGGAATCTATACTTTTAACCATCAGATCAGTGTTGTTGGGGTATTTTTTCCACTGGAATTCATAGTAAGAAATACAGTTTGTATCAATGCAGACATAAACACATACATGCAGACACACACACGAGTATATGTATACATATTGCATTTTGTTTACCTCTGTATATAATCAATAAAAGTTCCACCAATAATATTTATCTTTACTGTGTGCTTTGAATTATATTTTTCTCTGTTTTTAACCTGGTTTTCTTTATTTTATTAAATTGTATATCAATTATAAAATGCTAGTCATGGCCCAGGGGATTGATTTTATGACTCACTGGTGGTGACCCACGGTTTGGGAAGACTGCCCTAGATGAGATCATCTCCATGGTCAATTTTGTACAATATTAGAATCATTCATCTGACTAGAGAGTCTGGGATAACTTTTCAGTGATATCATCATTTCTCTCTCCTTACTATTTTTTTTTTTTCACTGTATCTTTGTCCTCATAAATATAGTTACAAGCAAGCACGTGATTTTTGAACACGTAGTATTTTTCTAATAAAATTATTTTATTTAGTCATAATATCCATCTCCAACAGCTTGAAATACCAATTCTCATGGTCTTCCATGGAACTGTCACTTTCTTTTAAAGTGCCCATTTTCCATTAAAATAATTTCCAATCCATTATGTGTTTGACTTTCTGCTTAAAACTCAGATATGGGTTTTGGGGAAGGCCACAAGTTACCAGTTCCAGAAAGTGTGAATTAGTCCTTGTTTTGGAAAACCCTCTAGGAATTTACCCAGAAATACATTTATAAAATTCTGAACCGCCGTCATCAAAACCTGCTTCATGGTTATCTGTGGACTTTAACAGTTTCCCCTCTTATGTTGCCTGGATGATCTCTTCAAGGCCAAAAGGCTGGTCATTTGCTGCAGCTGGTCATTCACTGCTTAGCAAATTCCACTTCCCAGACGAAGGTGTTATCTCTGTTTCAGGTGCCTCTCTGATCAGGAACCGCCTTGATCGCAAATATATTAAGCCTCATCCCCTTGGATGTATTTTCCTATGACTTTTTCTAGTCTCAGAGGTCTGCTGGCTGTGATCATTGTCTGATCCTTCGGCAATGTTAGGTCCTTCTCCATCCTTCCGTGTCCTTGAGACTACCTTGTGCTACTGGAGCTGTCTGAGCAGCTCTGGTTTGGTTGTCGCTTTTAGACAACCTAATTCTTGGGAGAAATATATATATATTTCTAGATTCTTATTTCAGATAAAGATTTATCACCAGTTCTTGATAACATTTAAGTTATTGCATTTATCTACTTCTGTTGAAACACGAGTTTCAGTGTGTTTGCTTCTCGATTACTCAGCCAGTGTTTTCTGAGCGGCTGACGATTCCAGGCAATTCTCTGAGTCCTGAACACGCATGCACGGAGCAGGCGTTACCACTGCACTCAAGTAGCTCGCCTACAGTAACACATACTTACTTCAGAAACACCTGGGAATATAAACACTTTCCAAAACTGTGTCTTTATTGAATCTAACTTAATAATCTTTGATAAAAATCTCTGTATTGCTATACCACATTTGTAGATTGTATGTTAAATGGTTGATTTTTTAAAAGTACAGAAAGGACTTTAAACATTATTGAGTCTTTCTAACAGTAAAAACTGATATATATATATATATATATATATATATATATATATATATATATATTTCTTACCATGACAGCTTGGTAAGGCTCTATTCCATCCAGGTCTTCCGTCATCTCCCATGATACAGGTGAGTGTTGAGTAACCTTGAAGAACATATCCAGCATCACAGTAATAGGTGACTGTTGACCCTAATTTATAATCCATCCCAAGTCTGGTGCCATTCATTATATTGCCTGGATCAAAGCAGGACTCCCGGAGTTTTGCTGTAAAATAAGGTTGATATAAAACAAAATGTTTTAAAATACTGTTTTCTATGCAACCTTCAAGATTTCTTCATTAGTACTGCTCAATGGAAAGGAAAACACCAACACCCTTTCAGCCTCTGGGTGCTTGCAGCACAAAGCAGCCCTTCACCATGTCTGACATTTTGCTAATTCATATTGATTAGCAAAGGAATAAAAGTCTTCATTGTTTTTCTCATTAAAATTAGTATCTAATATATACATATAGTCAGATAGGACTTTACAGTTTATTATAAAAAGAGGCAGGACTTATTTCCTCATTTAACATTTCTTTGCTCACGTGCACCCATTTCTTGATACCACTGCCTATGTCGAGCTCAGTTCATTTCACCACCAAGAGGAAAGTAAAAGACACTCTTTTCTGCCTTCGAAACGTTTCTCTTAACCCGCCTGCTCTAGTCATTCCCATGTTTCTCCCAGAGATCTGTCCATTAAAAATAGCAACACAATCTTTACAATATCCAAACCAGTATTTTTTTTTGAACACAGTCTATGTCAAAGCCAACTACTTTCAAAGCTAACAGTACCAGACAATGTAAAAGTTAAGTCTGTTCACAAGAAAGGAACTGTTTTCTGTGTACCCAGATAGTGAACTAAAGAGAAAATCTGTAGAGAAATAGACTAGTTTACACATTTTGAGAATAGCCATTAGAACATTATGTTGTTAAAAGATCTGGTAATACCTTAATATTTACATTTTATTATTATTATAATTTACTTAAGAAATAATAGAGAAATATGCAATGTAAGGACCATCAAAAATTCAGAATAACAAATGTGATTTTCTACATTAGAGTTTATCTTATGTTAATGGGAAGTCAGGAGGTATCTCTGGATATGACTCATGGCATCGCTGGAATTTAAGTCAACACTATGTTGGTGTTTGGCTATTACAGAAATTATATTAATATACCCAAAGCTGATTAATTACAACAGTAAAAGTATATTTTTTCCATTTATAAAAGTTACAGAGTTAAAAGTACTTTAACATTTACAGGAAATGATGAGAAATTTGTGTTTTAGGAAGAACACTATATAAAATTTCTCCCAATTCAACTAAGAAGAAAATGGTGGAACCAAGTACTTAAATGATTTCAGCAGAATATCAGAGGAATACAGGAGGCACTTTCTTTCCTTCCTTCTTTCTTTCCAACAAACACTTAAGAGTCTACTACCCAACCAACTCTGGAAATATAGCGGTGGACAATCAGAAAATATTCTAGCCCTCATAACATTACAGTCTATTAAGAATTGATTAAATACTAGTAGTTTTGATGAGTATGGCAAAAGAGGGGGCATTCAGAAGCCTACCTGAAGAATTGACATGTCAACTGAACATTATAAGAATGAACTGACTAGGTCAAAGAGAGATGAGGGGCATGAAGGGGAGAAAGTGTACTGGGGTGTGCAAGTCAAATAAACCCAGTTCCTGAGTTTCAATTCAAAGCTAGAAAACTTGGTCTCCCAAGTGCAGATATGCCTGTGTTGGTGTGCATGCATGCACACACACACGCACGCACACACACACACACAATTTGCACCCTACCTATTATATTCAAACTTCACTGTAAAAACTGTTTCCCAATTCAAGAAACTAGATTACTTCCCAGACAACACTGTTTTCAGGTACGAACCAGCAGGGTGAATGCTAAACGTAGCCACTAAGAACGGCGCTTTAGTGTTTTGTGTCAGAAGGGTTGGTTTGTTTATTTTTAAGAATAAAACCTCACATTGAGTCTTTCCTTAAACAAGCAGAAAAACACGATATAATTTTTAGGCAGAACAGCAACCTAGCATGTATAGCCAGCCTTCATGAAATTGAGCTAAATCCCTGAGGGATTTAAAGTAGTATGTAAACATAACAATGAGATAAAAGAATCCTCTCAAAATGAGGCTAACAATGTAAAAGTTTTGTCCAGGTAGTATTTTAAGTTTGTTGACCATGTTTTCCTTTCCTCAAAAAAATAAGATGTTTGAATCATAGATATTTAATATACTAATGTAGAGAAATAAGAAAAGTATATTAAAAATAATAAAAAATGAACAAACTGAGTTTTGCCCAAGTTGTAAAGAAGTTTTAATGTTAGGAAAACTACATTATAATTTATAACATTAAGAGTTTCACAAAGGAAAATCATGTGATATTTTCAATAGCTGAGGACAAAAAAAAAGTTGAAAAAATTTAATCCCATTTATTAAACAATTTTTAGCATGCCAGAATAAAAGGGAACTTCCTTAACTGATAAGGAATATCTCTAGGTAATTTTTTGAGGAGCCTCTATACTGTTTTCCAATAGAGTTACCATGTGACTCAACAATCCCTCTTCTGAGTACCTGAAAAATGTGAAAACATTTATTTGCAAAGATATATGCACCCCTATGTTCATCGCAGCACTAGTCACGGTGATCAAGCCTTGGAAACAAGCAGAGTGTCCTTTGATAGATAATTGGATAAGGAAGATGTGGTACATACATATGATGGAATACTATTCAGCCATAGAGAAGATGAAATACTGCCATTTGCGACATGGATGGATCTTGAGAATATCATGCTGAGTGAAATAAGTCAGACAGAGAAAGTTAAGAACCATATCCTCATATGTAGGATATAAAACTAAAAGCAGCAAGTAAACAAACAAGAAAAACAAACAAAAATTTATAGACACAGACCATAGTATGATGGTTATCAGAGGGGAGGTGGGTAGGTGGGTGGGTGGGAAATAAAGGGTAAATAGGGTCAAAGAAGATTTGACTTTGAGTAGTGGGCAGACACAATGCAATATACAGATGATGTATCAGAGAACTGTACACTTGAAACCTATATAATCTTATTAACCAATGTCACCATAATAAATTTAACAATTTAATAGGTTGTATAACATTTTGAATAGGAGTGTGGACTCTGGAGCCTACCCTGAATCAAAGCTTAGCACTGCCAGATGACTTTGGGCACACTGCTCAATCTTACTTGCTAACACTTATTCACTCAAAAATTAAAATATATTTATATGTAAATAACTTTGAAATATTCCTGCAAACAATAAGTAAAAAAATGTTGGCCCTTATAGTGTTGCCCCCTATCAACAGCAAATATCATATTTAAAGGTGAAAGATCGGATGCATTCTTGTTCAAATCATCCATGACACAAGGATGATGACTATCATTGTTTTCCTTTGATATGGTATTGAAGCTATTGCTTAGAGTACTAAGCCAAGAAAAACCAAAGCAAAACAAAACAAAAGTACGTGTAACCTAGAAAAAACAAGAGCTGTCACTGTTGTCATAGAAAAAAAAAAAACTCTATAAAATATTATGATAATTAAAGAAAGAGTTCAGTAAGTTTGGTAGATATTGCATAACTATAAAAATCCACAGTGGTCTTAATATTAGCTACAACCAGAAAAATCTAATAATAATATCACTAAATTACAAAATGAGATTTAGATGAGAAAACTTTTATAAAAAAAATTATAAACCATTACCAAAAGAAACAAGTACATTGAAACCTATGCATTATTAATAGGTGGGAAAATTAAATATATATACTTCAATTTATTCCCAAATAACTTATAAAGTCAATCTAGTCCCAATCAAATTCAATAGGTGGATCAAACTTAATTCTAAAATCTCAGTAAAATGTCTAAAGGTTAACAGACACCAAGAGAAATGTGAAGAAGGAGGTGGTGTACTCTTCCCACCTTACTCATACCACTGCTTCAATTTGACGTGACATTGAAGTTACTACTTAGAGCAGTAAGCCCAGAGAAAAAAAAGTATGTTCAGGCTAGGGAAAAACAAAAACAAAAACAAAAAACTCACAGAGCTTATTTTAAAGCCATAGTAGTAAAATTCAGAGAAGTCATGGCCTGGAAATTAAAAAAAAAAATAAAATAGGCCAATGGAACAGAACAGAATTTAGAAGCAGACATTCAGAAACCTGATATTTGATAGCAGTAGCACTATTTGCCAATAAATGACACTAGACAATTGATTATCCCCATGAAAAAAAAGAAACTGTATTCCTAGCTTGCACAGAGATAAACTCTACATTCATGAAAGATTAAAGGTAGAAAACAAAGCTCTCAAACTTTAGAAAAAATTTAAGAAATGCCTTTATGACTCCATAATAAGGAGGGATTTTTTAAAATCAAGGCATAAAAAGCATAGACTATAAAGACAAAGAAAGATTAAATACTGATACTGATTTTTAGAACCTTTTTATAAAAAAGAAAATCAGAAATAAAGTAAAATTACTTGCCAAAATGCTGGTAAAACCTTTACTACAACATAGATAATACATTGAGGACTATTTATAAGATTTCTTATGAACTAAAAAGAGACACAACTGGTTAGAAAAATGTACAACAATTAGAATATGCAGTTAATAAAAAGAGAAACTCAGTCTGCAAAAGAGGAAAAAGATGATCGACTTAATAGTAATTAGGGTAAAGGCAAGAAAAAAGACAATGAGATACCATTTAACACCCATGAGATTGACAACTTTCAAGTGTGGAAACACACTGGTTTTTAAAATATGTCAAGTTTTTCAAAATCATTATTTTGTAGAGATATCTGACCCCCACATTCATTACAGCACTATTTACATATTAAAGACATGGAAACCACTTCAGTATCCATCAGTGGCTGAACAAATAAAGAAACGGATGTATATATAGACAATGGAATATTATTCGGCCATGAAAAGAAGGAAATCGTGCTGTTTACAACAATATAGATGGACCTTAAGGGCACTATGCTAAGTGAAACAAGTCAGACAGAAAAAGACAAATATTGTATGGTCTCACATGTGAAATGTAAAAAAAGAAATAAAACAGATACAGAGAACAGATTGGTGGTTGCTAGAGGTCAGGGTCAGGGGTGGGAGGTAAAGGTGTTTAAAGATAAAAAACTTCCAGTTATAATTGCCAGTCAGTGTGGCTCAGTGGTTGAACATCGACCTATACTCCAAGAGGTTGCTGGTTTGATTCCTGGTCAGGGCACATGCCCAGGTTGTGGGCTGATCCCCGGTGGGGGGCATGCAGGAGGCAGCCAATTGATGTTCTCTCTCATCAGTGTTTCTCTCTCTCTCTCCCTCTCCCTTCCTTTCTCTCTAAAGTCAATAAAGACAAAAAACCTTCCAGTTATAAGGTAAGTCCGGGGATGGAATGTACAGCATGATGACTATAGTTAATAAGACTGTAGTGTGTATATTTGAAAGTTGCTAAGAGAGTAGAGATTAAAAGTTCCTATCACAATAAAACATGTTTGTAAGTGTGTGGTGATGGACGCTACCTAAACTTTTTGTGGTGATCATTTCACAACATATACATATATCAAATCTTATGTTGTATATATGAAATTAATACAATGTTATATGCCAATTATATCTCAAAAATACGTGGAGTTTCTGACATGCTTTTTCTGCTGTTGTGAGTATAAATTAGCAAACCTCTTCTAAAAGTAATTTGGCAATATGGACTTAGATTCAATATAGAATTAGATTACCCTTTGACTCAGTAATTTCACTTCTAGAATATATTTATTTTAGGAAGACACAGACATATAGAAAAAGACATGTAAAACAATTTTTATTTCATCATGATTTGATAGTGAAAAACAAAAACAACCTAAGTGTCTAACAGAATGACTTATAAATTAACTGTGATACAGTCATATGATAGAATATCATAAAGAAATCTGTTAACTAAATCTACGTTTCTATCATTGATAAATCTTGAAAACAATGTAAAGAAAATTTTTTCACAAGGATATGTACATGATGGGAATTAAAAAATGTATGACTATAGGATGAATGATGTGCACATACAGAAAATATAAAAACATGTGTAAGTGTTCGTACATGGAAAAGATAAGCACCAAATACAGAATTAAGAAAGTGGAGTTGTCTGAAAATGGTCTTGGGTGCCCATCAGTGGGGAGCCCCTTCCAACTGAAGAGATTTATAAAGTGCTCAGGTTCAATCCTCTATAAGACCAGTGCTTCCGGGCCCACAATCACAAAGTCTAAACTTCCCCAGGGTCCCAGGTTTGGAGCAGTTAGCATGTGCAGACAGCCCCAGTGAATAGCTGGCACCCCCAATTCTCATTGTCTGGTACCAAGCTTGTATATTCTTCCTCCCAGTGACATGGCGATTTCCTTGCTTTGCTCTGTAAAACGAGGGACTGATAGAGGGCTCAGTCCTCCCAGAGGAATACATCATTCAGATATTTTGCATCAGAAAATGCATGTCCATATCCAGCAGATCCCTTGGTCCTGGGCATGCATTTCCAAGGAACGATGAAGATACTGGAGGACTCCCAGCATCTGGTATCTCACTGACTTGTGAGTTTTTTCTTTCCCTAAAAAGCCTGCCTTAACCCATGCTATGTGAAGTTGTGGGATTTGATAGCCCCGAAGAGACAAACCCCTGTTCCCAGGACAATTGCAAAATGCATTTAATTGTACATGCAATAGAATATTTTTTACAATAAGAATTAATAGATCTGAATCAAATTCAAGTTGGATGGTAGATACTTTGAAGTTTATTAGTCTGTATAATTTTTAGTTTTTGAAATTATTTCATAATTTTAAAAAAACAAAGCTATAAGTAACAATTCCAAAACATGTATTTTCAGAACTCAATTGATAACTTGAGAAGAATTATCAGTATATCCTTTATGAATTCAATTACTGTAAAAATAAGTTTTAACTTTAAACAGCTAAGATCTAATTTGTTCTTATAGTCATTGAATATAAAACTTAAGAAAAATATATTTATAAGCATCCATATAATATTAATACATTTAAATACCTGCAGAAATGTTCCAAAATATTATAAGTATCACTATTTTTATTATCCCTATTCTGAATATTGATCTATTTAAATATCTTTAAACATTTTATGAAACAATTTTCACTGTACTTTGTTCTTTTACCACTGAGTATAGTCTCTAAATAAAAGATTCTTAAGTGAATCTTCAGTTTCCAAAAAACTGAGTTTTTAAAATTATTTTCTGGTTTCAACCAACTCTCAGAGTATACTAATTGCTAATTTGTTTACTGATACATTTCCTTTGGTAGTAATTAGGGAAATGCTAATTTCCTCCCCACTAACAGAAAAAGGCCGTGCTCTTTCATGAGATAAATTGTAGGTAGCTTGCACTAAGAAGGCACAGATGAGTAACCACTGACAATGGCCAATGCAAAATTATCCTCCTGTATAAAATACTCACAATTTGAATCATGATGCTAAAATCAAATGTTCACATTTACCTTTATACTCTAAATGAAATCCAGTGTAGCTAACAGATCCGTCACTCCGAAAAGCCAAATGCATGGTACTGGAGCTGCTTTCTATTCTCTCTGGGAGCTTGCTGTCTTGAAAACTTCCAATCAGTGGGCTATTACTGTCTGGCCCATCGTATATATAGAGAAAGTCGTAGTTTGGTTCTATGCTAAAACTAAAAAGGAGAGAGAGAGAGAGGGAGAGAGAAGGAAGTGGAATGTTTATTACTAAGATAGCAAGCTTAAGTCACATAATTATATATTAATTCAGGCAATATCTTTAAACATAACAACAGATCCTCCCAAAATAAGTTAATTTGAAAATTTGCCTGGGAACAACACACTGAATGAGAATATCAAATCAGCAGTGAGAAACAAAAGACATATTGATATTTTCAAAAATCTCTAAGTTGGCACTGTGCTACCGGGAATGCAAATAATTGTAAGGCAAGACAATGCAAATAATTGTAAGGCAAACAGCTTAGCTGATGAAAAAGCATAGGATTTGGAGTCAGAGATGTTGGTGCAAGACTTGCTTCTGCTCTTGTTAAGTTATATAGTCTTATATAAGCCGCTTTATAGCAGTAAAATGTGGAGGACAATATCTATTTTTAATTTTTTTCACTCAGATATTTTGCTTCAGAAAATACAACCTCTTTTTTCTTTATCAGTGGTACTACTTGCCCTGAATTTCAAAATTTATAAACAGTTTTGCTACATATTAGATTCAAACAAAAGTTTGATACACAAATTTGCACTTAAATTATGCAAATGAAGCGCTGTATTTTGCATTAAGTATACTTTTTCTTGAAAATAAATATATCTTCTTCTTTAATGTAGGATAAATCAAACCAATATTATTTGTCAAAATCCAATAATGTGTGAATAAAAGCACTTTAGTATGTAAATAATTTAAATTAATATTTCAATATAGCAAATTTGGCATATTAAATTTGCCTAAATATTTTTTCCTGAAGTATGAGAGTTGTCCCGTAATGATTACAGAGCTCACATGTTTAGGAGGCAGAAGATGTGCAATCATTTGTCTCTCTCTTACCTAGCTCATGTTGTGGCAGAGAAGAGAATGGACTTAATTGGGTCGTTAAAAAAAGCCAACAAGTTCATGATAAGACTAGTAAAGCTTGCCATTGTAAAACATCCATCAGCGGAGATAGGATTTTAACAAGTTTTATCACCCTTGCATCTAAATAGGGAACGTGTTAGGTGACAGATATTTTTAAATCTACTGGATTTATGGAGGCTACGTTTCCACCACGATTCGAATCCTTCATGTGTGCATGTACAAGGGAGAGGAATGCAGCTTCTTGTGCATAAACAGTGGTGAAGAAAGACTGGGATAATGCAGAGGTACCCAACCTTTCCATATATAAGGAACCTTGTCACATGAGAATATTGGGGGACCACCACATTGCTATATTTGTTTTAATCCATTCAGTTGCTGCAGAAGTCTAATCCAATTCATTGCTCTTAAAATCTGTCAATAGATATGAGGTCAGCATTTTGGTAACTTTTGCTATAATATAGCAGAAATTGGACAATAAGGCCTTATTTTATTGCTTACTACCCTTGTTCTGGGGTAAGACACAACCTTTCTGAACTTCGTGTCTTTCAACATTAAGATTTCCTGAGAATTACAACTTCCTCATCTATCTAACTGTTGGGAGAATCACTAGAAACAGGTCATTTGTAAATGATATTTTATAGTGGGATGTATTATCCTTGAAGGCCAAAAGCACATTTAAGAAAGAGTACAGTACATTTCTTTTTAATTTCTCATTTGGGGTTCAATAAAAACTTCAAAATATTGACTTGTAACTTTTTTGAAAATGAAACAAAAACAGTCTTTTTCTAGGAATTCTCCAATTCTTAACTCTAATGATTATTCTTCCTGAAAAACTGGAAAAACAATACATTCTAATAGTATATTGTATTTTACAAGTCACTTCCATAAATATTAACTTGGTCTTATCAATAATCCTGTGGTATTGGAAAGGGATCATTATTTCCATTTTCCCAATGAGTATACTAGGAATGGCAGTGGTCTCCCCAAGGTCACATAATAAATAACAGCTGGAAATCAAATTCAGGTCATGCACTTCATGTAAAACAGCCTTCTACCACGCACTTCCCAACTAGAATAAATTTATATGTAAAGTAAGCCCTGTATCATACACTTTGTCATTTTCAATGTCAATACTGACATTTCCTCAACTGCAAGAATGGGAATAATAACGACACTTACCTCAGGAGGTTGTCCCATAGCTGGGTCCTGACACTATACTAACATTATCATCATTGTTGCTTTATTATTATCAATTACCAATGCATCACTACAAATTATAGAAATAAAAATTCCAGACATTCACATTTTTTTTCAAGTTTTCATGAATTCAAACTATACATATTTTTTAAAACCTAGTTCCAATATATTAGAAAAATGCATACTTCAGCTTGCTATTTCACATAACTACCAAGAAGGCTTAACACACTAGCAGAAGGAGAGGTTGAGCTCCTAGAGCCCATGTGTATTGGTCTTGGACCCCGAAGATTAGTAACATGTCTACTTAGAACATTTTTGATTTGCTGATACCTAATACTGCCACTGAAGCGTTGTTAAGGGGAAGAGTTAGGCCAGGTTTTGTGATCACAGCTATGAGCTCCATGTGCGAAAACAGAGGCTCATCCCCATGACTTACCATGGAAACACAGCTGACAGGGGCAGAGCCAGGGCTCAGACTCAAGACTCCTTCCTCACACAAGAAGCTACATTCTCCACTGCTTCATTACTAAGCTGACCTCGTGACTAACGATACGGATAAACAACAAATGTGAATTTTTAAAACACTCCCACGTAAAGTTCTGTCATGAAACAGTTCTGCACAGACATACAGAAAGGATCCATAAAACTCTTCTTGGTGAGCTTGATTTAATGAGACCACTGGAAAAGGTGGCAAGTAGACTGTCTTCCCAACCCAGCGGCGCTGCTGCAGGCACATGGATATTTAGATGCTTCAGAAGATTTTGGGTGATACCCATGTGGGAGAAAACACAAAGAAAAGCCTTGAAGTACTGACCTTTTCATCTTGCAGTTTAGGAAAACCTGAATTTTTTGAAGCAGGGATGGCAAGTACAGGGAGGGAGAAAAGGTCATAAAGAGATCACATCTCACGACAGTCAATAAACCACTGCACCTTGAACAGGTTTCCTCACACTGGAATCTGGGGAGATGCTCACCCTCTAGCTTCTGAACCACACTGGTGTCTCTGTTATGATACAGGGCTTTGTAAACTGCGGAATGCAAAGTACTCGGGTTGTAATAAGTAAACAAGCATAAACATGTCACGTCTAGAAATACAAATTCGCCTAAGCAAATGCTAAAGCGGATGACAAAAAGATTGATTGAATGTGGCAGTGCAGGCACTCACCTGATAAAGGCCAAGGAGATGACATAGTCCGTGTTCAGAGTGATGGTCCAGTCACAGTCCCTGCTGTGGGGATACGGATGAGGGAAGTTGGGCGAAAGAATAAAGCCTGAAGATCCTGTTAAATTGCCTCCACACGGTGCTTTAAATAAACAAATAAAACCCGGTAAGTGATGAACAAAATGTATTAGCTATCAATACCTGTGAAAACAGCTTTTTAAAAAGTTTAGGAGGTTTTGTATAGACCTGACTTTTTATAGTACTCAATGGTTGAATACCATATTGTCTTTCAAGAAAAACCATTAAAGTAGCAAATACATACAGATGTAGATATACTGAATTTGTTCTTTTGACTGGTTTCAAATGACAAGAAATATTACATAAATACTTATGCTTCTTTCTATTTTTTTCATTTGTAAGAAAAGTATTGAGAAGAGGGGTAAAGATGGTTTCCCCATGATTACTAAAAAATAAATAAAATCTGAAGGTTACTAGGAAAGTTAGAAAAAAAAACAAAGCAAAACAAAACCTCTAACCATACATGGAATAACAGGATATAAGATATTTGGCTCATTTTTACATCCTCCCAGTACCTTTTTATGTATTTATAAAGGAAGAACCTTGGATATAATTAATAAGTGAGGACGAATAATTATCTGAGAACCTACAGCATTTTACAATAAAATAGTCTTCTACTGAGTGTTAGGATATTCCTAGTTTCTAGCTACCGAACTTGTTAATGAAAATGAACAAGTTGCTAAAATTATTATTGCAGCCCCAAACAAAGGTTTCTGTAACACTTCAATGGACAGGCTCAAGACATTCTTAGTGAAATTCAGAGAATAGATTCCGCAGGGGATTATTGTTGAGTTCTATAAAACATAGCTTATGATGAGAAAAAATATGTATATTACACAGAGTTAGCCGCTTCAGAAAAATAAAGAAATAAGAAGATGGAGGTCCCTGGTAGTGGAGTGGGGCTAGAAATAAACAACAGAGATTCTCATGATGTCCTATTCCCTACACATAACCAGCACATCAGCCTTCTCCTTTCAAAATTATAGTTTCCTTAGATACATCTTACTATTCAGCTGCAAGGCATTCTTGATTCTTTGGACAGCATAAAACTGGTTTGGGAAGGAGGAAAATTCTGGTTCTGATAACACTGCAGATCTCGGTTCTTTGTCTGAGTCTAGATATGCAAATTTATCAATAAAATTCGGTAATTTTTGTCACCTAAATTATAGATGTCTGCTGTTACCTTTTTCTATGTCCTTTGCTACCCTTGCCTCTGCCTGTCACCGTAGATGACCTCAGCTCCTACTCTATGTAGAATAAATACTTACTTATCACCTGAGTATTTGTGGTATCTTATCAAATGATTAGACAACAGAATTTCTCAACTTTCTGTATTCCTCCCTTTTCAAACTTCAATGCCTCCTGAATATTTCTCTCTACAATCAGAGAATAAAGAGTCCTTCCTAATTAAGCAAGATAGCATCCTCCACTTGGTCACATAATCCCTCTTTCTTCTCCAGAATCTTTGTCCATTTATTTCCTTTACTCTCTGCCTTCTTACCCCATCCACAGGGATGCTCAAGTCTCATTCATCCTAAAAATAAAATGTTCCCTACAACTTATTTTCTTTCACTTTTTTTTTAACTGAAAAATATTGACTTTTACCTGATGGTTTGTTAAGAGATCCCCTCACCCCTCTGTGTGGGTTACATGAGTTTACTGTGGGGAACCAGCCTTCCACATAGGTCTCATCACATGTCAGATCTGATCCCTGAAATAACCCCCACCCCTCATGTTCCTATGATAAGACTCGACACAGACCCTGCAAATTCCCATTATTTTACTCAAATGGGTAACTGAACTGCTTATTCTCACTATAAATCAGAATTAAATGCTTGTAACCAAACTTTGGTTACATTTCTATTCTTCTATGTCCCTGAACTTTGACCCACCCTCAGTGTTCACCAGCACACCACCTCTACTTAGAACGAACTGGCCTGGGCACAGCATTCTGTATCTACTATCCCATGTGGCTGCCCTTCCCCCCCTTCCCCAGACCTGACTCTTTCTGGCCTTGGGGTCTCCTCTCTCTAAGAGAACATCCTTTGCTTAACTCTAGGCACTGGTAGATCGACTGGCCATGTGGGTCTCCCTATCACAGTAGCCCCCGCTGCCCTGCCCTGCGATAACTCCTTTTAAATAAAGGTTTCTGTTTACTTATTTCAAATGTATTGTTTTATTTTACTAGGAATCTTTTGAAAGGAGGACCAATCTCACTGTCTCTTTCTTATCCATGTGCTCCGTATTTACCAACAGGCTGACTGACATGCTTAGCAAAGCAGGTCACCGCTGGGAAAAATACTTTGTTATATTTCAAAAAAAGAGCACCCAAGTGTTTATTCTGAGTAATCTTAATTGTATTTTTAATTATATCTAGGGAGACACAATCACCTTTTTTGTTGCTTAGGCAGCTATGTGTCTTTCTTTTGGTTCTTTTCAGCTCTCATTCTCTTGCCAGCCTCTGCTGCTCCCGGCCTCCTCGCCCCAGAAACAAAGGCTCTGTAGCTCACCCCGAAATCACTTTGCATTGACTCACATAATGGAGGCTTTTCTGCCTTTGTCTTTTTCTTCATATCTGCAGCCTTTCTTAACTGTTGGTGTTCAGACGTTCACCTTAAATTCCCTCTCCTTGTTTTCAGGACTCCTTCTTTTCTCCCAGTGCCTTGTATAGAGCTGTTTCACCTCCAGGCACTTTCTCTCGCTTCAATGCACAAGTTTGGTATTTTCCTAAATTCCTCACTTGGCTGTCTCTAATTTTCACCCTGTTACATTCTTCCTCATTGGCCATATCCATTTTTCTTTTTTACGTTACCTTTGAGTTATTTATACACTGATGACTCCTTTTTTTCCTATCTTCTCTATCAGATTTATCTGTTTAATTCTAAACCATATGCCCAAATGCTTACTGGTGATCTCTACCTGATAGCCTATAAGTATATCAAACACAAAATATCCGATATATCCAAACATCAACTCATATTTGCTCCTGCTTTTGCATTCCTAAGTTGTTTGATTAGCACTATGATCCACCTGTATCCCTTTCCTTCACTGCATTCTTGTATCCAGCCCATTAAGAAGCACTACTAAGACTCCTCCTCAAAGACGCTCGTAGACATTTTTCAACCTATCTCTTCTTTCTTTGCCTGCTATCATATTTCTAGATCTGACCTTTTCTGTCTGCCTCCAGAATTACAGCATGGCTTCTTGTTTCACATGCCTCTAATATCCTCTAATTCATCTTTCCCCTCGTAAAAATATCTACTCAGACCATGCCCATGCACACAAGTCTGCAGGTGTTTCATATTACCTAAAGGATAAAGCCTCAGCTCTAGGAGTTTTCATATCCTACCCTCTGCCACCTTCCCAGTGGATCCATCCCCCACTCTAGACACATCATTTACACTCAAACATGATCAAAGTGTTCACATGCCTGTTACTTCCATGCCTTTGCCCATGCTATTTGTTTTTCCTGAAATGTCTTTTTCCCTTCTTCATTTATATAGCTCTTACCCACATTTCGAGATTCATTCTGCCTCTAATAAATTTTCCTGGAAATTTCCAGCCTGGGCTTTGCTTAAATCATCTCCAGCACACTTTGATATCCATAGCAAACTCTCCCTATCTTCATTATTTCCTTTAGCATTTTGTATTTAAATACACCTTTCAGGTGTCTGACTTCATCACTAATCTATAAGATAAGGACTGTATCTTATATGTTACTTTACACCTGAGATTCAGCACATCTATACATTCCATACATGTTTGTGAAATTGCTGCTACTGGCTCTTTGTAGTGATTATGAAGATAGTCAAGATGACTACAGATGATTGTGCAAATCTAATTCATAGCTATTTATTTTGATAAAAATAATAGCATATTTTGCCTTTGGAAACTGTAAAATCTATGTGAATTTGAAAAAAATAGAAAAATATGTGTCATAATAGCAAATATATGTATAGATATGCAAAAAAGACAGAAATGATAGCTAAATGTTCCCTTTTCACGTAGTAAAGTGGTGGGACTATGTGTAATTTGGGGGATCATGGTAGAGAATTGTTTGATTCAATTTTCCTTATTTTTTACAGGGAATATCGATCTTTTTTATGATTAGAAATTTTATACACATGCACACATTCATATGTACACTGATGCATGTGTATTCTTTCTCATAATATATATAAAATCTATTATATATATATATATATATAAAGTATCTTACTGGATATATTTCATAATTATATTATTATTTGGATATAAGATCCTCTAAAATTATTTTAATTTTTAAATTATTTGTCAAGGTTTTCCTGATATATTTTATTGCTGTAATAGATTCTGAAAATCTACAAAAGCCTGAGACCATCAAAGACATTATCCGACATTTGTATATCCCAAACACTCAGTGAGTAAAGAAAATTCTCTTTGCCTTAAATATGATAAACTTTAAAACCATTTGGAGAATGCTATTTATTTTTCTGCACCTAATCATAAAGCATTCAGAATAAAGCATTAAAATAAAGCATTCAAATAATAGTTTGTTCTTGGTGTGGTTTCTCACGAGGCAGTTATACAGAGAACTATTGATACTTATTTTACAATCTTCTTAATTTTTTCACTCCTCAGTTTTATTTGTTTTTACTGCCTATCTCAGCAGCCCACCCACACTAATGTCTTTGTTATTTACCTTAATATTGAGTGCTGCTAGTTCCCCTCTGGCAAAGTAATCTTCACACTGTCAATTTTGTTAGGATGAATTCTATTAACTCAAACTGACGTCCTTCTGATTGGTACTTGCTATAAGGCTGACTACTTCTACATGCAAGCAAAATGCTTTGTGCTCCAGGGTCTGAGACATAGACTTATGGAGTTTCTAAAAAGTTCAGGGTTTAATCTTTGGCATAGTGTTTCCAATCATGAAGTTCTTTCTTATCAGTTGCAGAGGTCAAGCTTTCTGCAGCCTTAGCAATTTTTCAGACATTTTCTTTTTAGGTTATTTTCTTCCTCAGAGAAGCTCAAATGCATATCTTCTCCTCAAGCTATCTTTTCCTACGAAAAAATAATGCCTGGCACCATAATCCAGACAAAAACTTTCCACAGTCTATTTAAGTGTGATTCAGTGTTCAACAATTTTTTTTCTAGAATTAGGACTTGCTAGTTAAAAGTCGTGTTGACAAGTGGAATTTTATAACACCCTATTTTAAAACTTTGTTTTGTATTTTAGTGTTTACTAGAATTCAGTAAAAATCTGTTCAATATTTTAGAATTCTCAGCACAAAAACATGTAATAGAGTCCTTCTAGTAATTCTAATAAGCAATACTCTTTAACAAGTCTAAGGTCACAATGAAGCAAGAAGTTCCACAGTAAGTCTGTGTTATTCTATCACTTCCTCTTCACACACAGATTCTCTTTATGAGATACTCAGTTAAATTTCAATTAATTAGCATGTTAATTTAATTGGAATTTTTTAGGTTAACTGAGGAGTAAACAAACAAATAAAAACTTCTTTATTTCTGTCTTTTTTTCTCAACAATATTTATTCCTGGCTTTTATGAGTTTAAATTATGGTAAACATAAATTAATTGATATATAATGATTTAGAATCTTGCAGCGGTACATGAAGAGGTGTAAACTGCAATGATAAAGCGCAGAGGGAGATAATGCCTAATCCGAACTGGTTCAAGTTATGGCCTTATTTTGCATTTTAAAAAAAGTATCTTTTAGCCCAAATGGTGTGACTCAGTGGTAGAGCACCGACCATGCACCAAGAGGTCACTGGTTGGATTCCCGGTCAGGGCACATGCAAAGGTTGTAGGCCTGATCCCCAGTGGGGGGCATGCAGGAGGCAGCCAATCGCTGTTTCTCTCTCATTGATGTTTCTAACTCTCTCTTCCCTCTCCTTTTCTCTCTCTCTAAAAAAATCAATAAAGAAAAATAAAATTTTTTTAAAAGTCTCTTTAATATGATTTTTCTTTGTCGTCTGTTTCAATTTCCACAAAAAGTCTAGAACTGTCTACCTACTCTGTGACTTATTTAAGCTATGAAACATGTTTTGTTCTGTGCATGAGTACTTTTTAATTGGCAACATATAAAATACAAAAAAAAGTGATATGAAATTCTGATTTTTTTAGTTTCTTTTCACTAGAAAGTAGCTTTACACAAACAAGGAACTTCTCTGTTATGTTTTACTTCTAAATCCTCAATGTTCAAGACAATACCTACAACATAATGACTAATAAATATTGAATTTGCAACTCTGGTATAAGAAGTTACAAGATGGGATAAAATAAATCTAAATAATTGAGTCCTTGGATTTGTTCACTTCAGTACTGAGGTACTAAATGCTCTTTTTCTATTACCATGTAAGTTAAACAAACAAAAAAATCACTGTATAATGATTATTTAAAATGTATTTATGAGTTGTATATAAGTAAAGAAAAATGAGGCTTTCTCTCCTAAATGTGCTAAATTTGCTTGTGCTGAATATTATAAGAAACACGATGATGAACAAGCTATGAAATCTCTCAAGTTGCTTGTAGTATAGTAAAAAACAGAGTTTGTAAAGAAATAAGATTTTGAGTAAAGAGAACATACTTTGCTCAAAATGTATTGTAAATTCAAGATGACACCAAATCTAAAATATTTAAGCTAAAAGGTTTAAGACTAAAGAAGTTTAATGTAAAAAATCTAACAATGAGATTTTGAAACAAATGTAATATACCAGGTTTTCTCACTATTTTTATTCCAAAGGTGGTACATTCCTCTAACTTTTTCTCTAACCCAGTAGAGAAATAATATGCATCTTAACTTTCTGGAGATTCGAGAACAAAACACAGAGACAGAAAGCAGATAGCTGGAAGTAAGGATGAAGCAGCTACACATCCTTAGATCATCAAATTCAAAACTAACATTCCTTCAAAATACATAAATTGAATGAAAAGTCAAAGCTTTGAAACTCAAGCATAAGCTCCAATAAACTTTTCTTTTTTAGAAGAAATAACCATAGAAGAGGCAAGATCAATATGGTGCATTTAAAATGTAGAGTCTAAATCATTCTTTAAATATTATAAGCAGTGGATAACTACTTTCATATAGTAGATAAGATCAGGATTTTTCAAGAGCTTCAATTTTTAACTTTTTTTTTTTAAGGATCTTAGAACCATTGAGAATCTAATAAAATTATGACTCTGCCTCTCAGAGGAAAATTAATGATCATTTAAATTGGATCATTATACATTTTTCTGGAGGATCACTGACCTCTGAAATCTTAGATTCTCATATAGAAATCTACTCTAGAATATTGTTCTTAATCAATGATACCAATGCCCATTTATAACCATGTTTTTACACTTGCATAAAAGTTTAATTGTTCTTGAATTCATACCTATACAGACTGGTGGGCTGGGTTGCCAGAAGTATCGATTTTCTACCTGAATGCAGGTTATTCTTCCCTCTCCTTGAAGCTCATATCCTGGGTCACATTGAAAGACAACAGTGTCCCCAGGTTCTCGTCCGTCCCCATTTCGAGTTCCATTCATGGGAACACCTGGATCACGACATGCAGTGGCAACAGAACCTATTAAAAGATACAAAGAAACTTTTAGTGTTGATGGTACCATAATCAATTCCGAAGTTCCAGGCGTGACAGTTTAGAACCTTCCACCATATCTATGTGCTTTCAGAAAATTAACGTACAAATGTTCTTCAGCCAATTTTGTAATGCCTACATAATAAATACTTAAAACATTTTTTACTTTCTTTTATTAATTATTTTTTGTTACAGATGTTTCTCCTTTTCCCCCCACAGACACCCTCCTCCCTATCCCCCCCTCAAGCATCATTATCTATGTCCATTGATTATACATACATGCATATAAATTATTTGGTTTATCTCATGCTCCTCTGAGGTTTGTTAGTCTGAACCATACTCCTTTCTACATCTCTGGGTCTGTTTTATTAATCAGCTTTTTTTGTTCATTATAAAAATTTATTTTGTTGTTAAGTAATGTGTGCTATATTATTGCAAGAAGGGGCATGGCATTTCAGTAGCTAAATATTAGGTTTACTTAAAATTATTAGATGTTCTGTGGAAAACACTATGAAGAAAATGAAAAAAAAATTATGCAGGTTGGGAGAACATGTTTGCATGAAATATATTTCACAAAGGACTTGTAGCTAAAATACATAAAGAACTCTGGAAACTCAGCTATGAAAAAGAAAAAAGGCAGAAGAAGAAAAAAAATCCAGTTACAGAATAAGCAAAAAACATTTCAATGAAGAGAACTCCGAATGGCTCATGAAAAGATGTTCATCATTAGCCATTAGGGAAATGCAAATTAAAACCATAATGAGATATCGCTGCATACCTATCAGTTAGCTAAAAAGAAAAAAAGATAATATCAAATGCTGATAAGATTCTGGGGAAAACTAAATTACTTATACATTGCCAGTGGGAATATAAAATGGTATAGTCACTCTATAAAGAAGGATGGCAGTTTCTCGCAAAACTAAACATGTGCTTACCATACTACCCAATAATTGCACTCTTGCACATTTACCCCAGATAAATGAAAATTATGTTCACATAAAATCATGAACACAGATGTTCATCACAGCTTTATTTGTAGTAGTTGAAAACTAGGAACAACCCAAATGCCTTTCAAAAGGTGAATAATTTAACTAACTAGCAAATTCATATCATAGAATGTTATTCAACAATGAAGAATGACGCTACCCTTGACATCTTGAATGGATCTGGAGGGCATTATGCTGAGTGAAAAAATACACCAACAAAAGGTTATATACTGTTTGACTAAATCTATGTAACATTCTTGAAGTGAAAATGATAAGGTTGAACAGATTAGTAGTTATCAGGGGTGTGGGGGTGGAAGATGGGGGGAGGTGGTGGTGGCTATTAAAGAGTAATATCCTTGAGGGAATGTTGTGATGAACTGTACTGTATCTTGATGTATTGGTGGTGTTCACACAAATCTACATAGAACTAATAAACATAAATAAGTAAATGGAACACTAGTAAAATCTAATAAGATTGGTGGATTGTATGTTAATTTTCTGGTTGTGACATAATGTTATAGTTATGCAAAAAAAGTTGTCATTGGGGTAAACTGGGTGAAGAACATACAGTATCTGTATTTATTACTCCTTACAACTTCAGATAAACCTAAAATTATCTAAAAGTGAAAAAGAAGTTTAAACATATCAGTGGAGAAGAGGAGTATGAGATCGTAGGAAAGTAACAACTCTTCTATACACAGTATATGGCACATTTAATAATAAAGTTAACTCCAATTATTTAGGTTAATGAAACAAAATATTATTTTAAATGATCACAAAGCAGATTTACCCTAAAGCATATGCCAATTAAGTATCAAGACAAAGAAGCTATTTAAGTTTCTATTTACGCTGTCATTAAAATATATTTACAATTTTTGGCTTCAACATTTGTACAAATTATTTTATAAGTTGCATATGCAAGTAATGAGACAAATTGCTGGATTACAGACACATAACTGATATCCACTCATTCATTCACTTGATAACAATATATTCCATGCATTGTGCTAGGTGTTAGACATACAAAGAAGAAAGAAGCAGATGCACATACAACTAAACAAAGGTCAAATTATTTTGTATATTGGTGATACTGACCAACAGATTCTATTGTGTATATTCTTGTTAGGTAGGTAGGTAGGTAGACAGATGGAAGGATAGATAGATCAATAGATTAATCAATCTGTTAAGCCATCCATAAAATTTGTTATAGCTTATTTAACATACACAACAAAACCAGAGAATCTATACATAGTGTTATAATATTCTGATACTCAAAGCTGTGTGAAAATTAAGATCATATCAACTTAAAAACTTAGGGAAAAAAGTCCGGCCAGTGTAACTCAGTGGTTGAGCGTTGACTCATGCACCAAGAAGTCACTGGTTTCATTCCTGGTCAGAACACAGGCCCAGGTTGTGGGCCGGATCCCCAGTGAGCAGGAGGCGGCCAGTCAATGTTCTCTCTCATCGATGTTTCTATCTTTCTCTCTCTCTCTCTCTTTCTCTCTCTCTCTCTCTCCCTTCCTCTGTCTCTCTAATACATCAATAAAGAGAGAGAGAAAAAAAAAAAACTCAGGGGAAAAAAATGAGTATTGGTAGTATATTAAGCCTGACAGTGTACCTAAGCAGCAACAATAACAAAAAGTGGTGCCCGGTTGGTGAGGCTCAGTGATTGAGCATTGACCCATGCACCAAGAGGTTGCTGGTTCAATTCCTGGTCAGGGCACATGTCTAGGTTGTGGGTCAAATCCCCAGTAGGGGGCATGCAGGAGGTGGCCAATCAATGTTCTTTCTCATTGATGTTTCTATCTCTCTCTCCCTCTCTCTCTCTCCAAAATTAATAAAGAAAAGAAAATTTTAAGTGGTTTTATACAAACACACACACACACACACACACACTTATATATTTTATTTACAATAAAAAAAAAAAAAAATATGCTCTGGCCAGTTTGGCTCAGAGGTTAGTGTGACTGTGAATCAGAGGGTCGTGGGTTTGATTCCTGGTCAAGGGCACATACCTTAGTTGCAGGTTCAATCCCAGCCCTGATCCGGGTCTTGTAAGAGGTAATCAATAGATGTGTCTCTCTCACATCCATGTTTTTCTCTCTCTCTCCCCCCACCCTCACTCTGTCTAAAAATCAATGAAAACATATCCTCAGGTGAGGATTAACGAACAACAAAAAAATAAAAAACAACCAACCGAACAAACAAAAATTTTACTTTTTAAAAGGTTTATTTCTAAAGAGTTACATTTTTAAAAGGATTACAAGTGCAGACTGAAAATGTCATTTTACCAATCATTTAAAAGAAACAAAATCTATAAAATTTGAAGCCATAGTTTTTGAACTAGTGATTCTGAGCATGGCCTGGAATAGGGACTTTACATGTATAACTCCTTTCATTCTTTTTTTATTTTTTAATTTTTTATTTTTATCCTCACCTGAGGACATTTTTCCATTTTTTGCACAGATAGAGTGGGAAGGAGAGAGAGGAAGAGAGAGAGAGAGAGAAACATCGACGTGAAAGGGACACATCGAGTGGCTACCACCCGCACAACCAACCAGGGCCAGGGACAAACTGCAACCAAGGTACATGCCCTTAGCAGGAACTGAACCCGGGTCTCTCCAGACCGCAGGCCGATGCTCTAACCGTTGAGCCAAACCGGCCAGGGCTCCTTTCATTCTTTTAATAATCCTATGAATGAAGTGTCATTATTATCCTTGTGTTAGAGGTGAGGAAACTAAGGTTTGGAAAGATTAACCTGTCCAACATTACAGCAACTGAAAAGCACAGAACCGACATCTGAAATTAAGTCTGCCTGGTTTCAGCACCCAAACCCTTAAATGTTACACTAGACTGCCCTGTCCTCATTTACCTGTAACTGTCCCAGCGATGCAATTTCTCTCCTCAGTTAAATAAAATAAAATAATAAACCCCATTAACAAATTATGAAAAATAGTGGAGATTATATCCATAAATAGAAAAGCTACAGGTGGCATAAATCTGAATCCATCTTAAAAATATTTAAATTTACCTTCATATGAGTAATACATTTTTGAGAGAGTTTTTTTTTTTTGAAATTTTAACAAAATAAAAATCTAACTCATATTGGAGAATATCAAGGGTAGCAAGAAAGGGTCTTGATTCCAAGCTGCACATGAATTTGTTCGGTATAACCATCCATGTCCCTTAGCAGAGGATCCATCATGCATCACAGGGTCTGGGCAGTTATGACTTTTCAATATTGATAGTTTTTGTAAAATGTTTTTGTGATAAACTCAGTTGTTATGCTTTTCTTGAAGTGTTATGGGATGGTTTCCACCAAAATGGAAACTGATCTATAGAGTGGTTTTGCAAAATATAAGTGGAAAGTGATGTTCTACACATAAGATTTACATTTAAGATGCTTTTATTGGAAAAAAGTGACAGAAATGTGAAATGTGCTATAGCTTTTAAACTAAAAACTAGGAATAACATAAAAAATTATGAGAAAACACTTTTTTGAGGCTTCCCATGTTGCTGCACTCTGTCTGCAAGAAGCTCAAAACTTAAGAACAACATTCTTAAAAGTAAAACTGTACATATAACATAAAGCAATCGATATGATCCTGTCTTACCTGAATGTGAGGGGAAAAACATGTTTTTGCTCTATTGTCAGATTTCCTGTGGTCAAAGATTTAAAGTGGAACCAAGACGCAATAATTAATGTATGATGTGCAAAATGACAACTAACATATGTAAAAATATGCATTTGCTTTTGGGTCTGTTCAACTTTAAGAAAGAGAGGTGGTTTACCCTTATTTTTCCTTTTTCTCTTAATTAATAAACAAAGTACTGATAAGATTTTAAGGCGTAATAGAGAATGTTGGGGTCTAATGAAAGACTAAAGAAGTTTTTTCATCTTGCAATTACTTGAATTCAAAAAGCAATTAATTAAACACACACAGGAACAATTACTTGGGGTAAACACTATTGTCTTACTTTCTTTTCTTATTGAAAGTTTAA